CCGGGTCTTACGCCCCCCTGATGCATCCCTCCGTCCCCCCCCTCCTGGAGCCTGTTTCTTTATTGTTTGGATCATGGCGCGCCTTATGGCCCCCACGCCCCCCCCCCTCCCCCTTTAGCCTAACACTCCAGCCCCCAGTGCGCCCCCGTCATTACTGCTGTGCGCACAGGTATCCGCACAGGAACCCGAAAAGCGATCCACCAAGGCATCCGCACAGAATTCCGCACAGGGATCCGCATAGGGACCCGCATTAGAATGTCCATGGATCCTCATGGAGATCCGCATAGGGATCTGCGTAGGGATCCGAATAGGGATCTGCATAGGGGTCCACGACGACGACCGACATCGAAGAGCGACGACGACGACGACGACGACGAGGAGGACGAGGACGGCGACGACGTTGAAGACGACGACGACGAGGACGAGGACGACGACGACGACGAGGATGGAGGAAGGAGGTAAAGAGCAGAGTACGCCACGTGGAGGCAACGAGGCCTTCGCAGGCATATGCTCGCCACAACTCGTCGATCTTGGTTGTCGGTCGTCGTCGCCGTTGTCGTCGTCGTCGTCGTCGCTCGTCGTCGCTCGTCGTCGCTCGTCGCCGTCGTAGTCATTGTCGCTCCTCGTTGTCGGTAGTCGTGGTCGTCGTGGTCGTCGTCGTCGTCGTCGTCGTCATCGTCGTCATCTTCGTTGTCGTCGTCGTCGTTGACGTCGGTCGTCATAGCTTGCGGTTGTGCGTCGTTATCAAACGCCTTCGAAAGCTTTCGAGGGCCTCTGGAGGCCTTCGAATGACCTCCAGACGGCCTCTGGAGGCTTCCAGGGGTCTCAGGAGGCCTCGCTTCGGGAAACCTCTGGAGACCTCCGGAGTCGCTCGTCGTTGTCCGTCGTCGTCGTCACCGTCGTCGTCGTCGTCGTCCTCGTCGTCGTCGTCGTCGTCGCTCGTCGTCGTCGTCGTCGTCGTCGTCGTCGTCACCGTCGTCGTCGTCGTCGTCGTCGTCGTCGTCGTCGTCGTCGTCGTCGTCGTCGTCGTGGTCGTCGTCGTCGTCGTCGTCGTCGTCGTAGTGGTCGTTCGTCGTCGTCGTCGTCGTCGCCGTAATCGCTCGTTGTCGTCGTCGTCGTGGCCGTGGTCGCTCGTCGTCGTCGTCGTCGTCGTCGTCGTCCTCGTCGTCGACGTCGTCGTCGTCGCTCGTCGTCGTCGTGGTCGGTCGGTTGGTCGTCGTCGTCGTCGCCGTAATCGCTCGTTGTCGTCGTCGTCGTCGTCGTCGTGGCCGTGGTCGCTCGTCGTCGTCGTCGTCGTCGTCGTCGGCGCTCGTCGTCGTCGTCGTCGTCGTCGTCGTCGTCGTCGTCGTGGTCGCTCGTCGTTGTCGCCGTCGTCGTCGTCGTCCTCGTCGTCGTCGTCGTCGTCGTCGTCGTCGTCGGTGTCGGCGTTGGCGTCGTCGTGGACTCTCGTCGTCGGTCGTCGTCGTCGTTCGCGCAAAAGTTGTGATGGCCCCAGAACCGGAGGCCAGGGGAGGGGGTGGGCGTTAGGTTATACCCTCCCCCGCCCCCCCCTTCCCTCATAACGCCCCCGTTTTCGCCGAAAATAATGAAACGCGCTCGCTCCTGGATCCAACTCCCCCCCCTCCTCCTGCCTCCTCCTCCCGCCTTCTCTTCGGAGCCGACGTCAAGAGGACGCGTCCACCATCTACCCGCTCCGCTCCCTTCCTCCTCCTCCCAGTGTGGACCTGGCTCACGTCGCTGGCCGCTATGAGTCCGTGCCCTACTGCTCATGGAGCTCCGGTGCGCTCTTCCAGCATAGTCCAGCAGAGTCTTCCTCCTTTTACCCCCCTAACTCCTCCTGCTCCTCCTGCTCCTCCTATTCCTCCTCTTTCCCCCCCTTCGCCCCTTCACCCCCCCCTTCGCCCCTATTTCTCCTCTTTCCCCCCCTTCGCCCCTCATCTCCTCCTCTCCCCCCCGCTTCCTCCTCCCTCTCGCGGAGGGGCGGTGCTGCCCCGAGACTGGGCCTGTGCAGATGCTCCAGCGGCCCAGGGACTGCTCTCCTGCCTTCGCGTCCACGTCAGGACGCCGTCGCCCCCTCCTTCGCAGTCCCTGAGATCCGACGTTGCACAAAAATGCACGGCTCCTCCTTCTCCTCCCCCTCCTCCTCCTCCTCCTCCTCCTCCTCCTCCTCCTCCTCTCCTCCTCCACCTCCATCTTCCTCCTCCTCCTCCTCCTCCTCCTCCTCCTCCTCCTCCTCCTCCTCCTCCCCCTCCTCCGCCTCCTCCTCCTCCTCCTCCTCCTCCTCCTCCTCCTCGCAACAAACATCACGACCAGAGCTCTGGTCCGTATCTCTCCGCGTCAGCTTTCGCGCCGGCTCGATCCGTGAGGGTCCCGGGGGTCCCGTTGCGAAACAGCTGCGACGCCAGGACCTCGAGGGTCGTCGCCGTCGACGGCGCGTCGCCGCCGCTCTCGCCGCCGTCGGCGGCGGCGCCGCCGGCCTCGCTGGCCGCCGCCGACGTCCTCGCCGCCGTGGCCGCCGCCCGCAGGCCGCCTCGCTGCAGCACGGGGAGCGGTCCACCGCCGCGTCCAGCGACACCGACCGCCCCGAGGACTCGCCCGGGTTCTCCTCCTCGCGGCTGGTGCAGGCGGGCGGCCCGCCGCCCCTCCGGCAGCGCGACGGGGGCGGCGGCGGCCCTCCCGTGGCGTCTGCGTGTTGCCTCGGCCTCCCGGCTGGCCCCTCGCCGCCACGGCGGGGCCCGCCTCGACGGGCGGCTTTGGGGGCGTGGGCTCCCTGGGGAGGGGCCGGAGTGCCGGAGTGGCCTGGCCCGAGGGGCCGGCGTCGGTCGGAGTTGCGTTGTGCGGCCGGCGGCGCAAGAGCGGGTCACGACGACGACCACGACCACGACCACGACGACGACGACGACGACGACGTCGAACGACCGACCGACCGACCGACCGACCGTTACGACGACGACGAGCGACGACCACTACGACGACGACGACGACGACGACGACGGTGACGACGACTACGCCGACGACGACGACGACGACGACGACGACGACGACGACGTCTACGACGACGACGACCGACGACATCGACAACGACGACGATGCCGACGAGCGACGACGACGACGACGACCGAAGACCGACGACGCCGACGACGACGACGCCGACGAGCGAAGACGACGACGACGACGTCGAACGACCGACCGACCCCGACCGACCGACCGACCGACCACTACGACGACGACGAGCGATGACGACGAGCGATGACGACGAGCGATGACGACGACGACGACGACGACGACAATGACGACCGACGACGACGACGACGACCGACGACGACGTCGACGACGACGACGACGTCGAAGGACCGACCGACCGACCGACCGACCGACCGACCAACCAATACGACGACGACGACGAGCGATGACGACGACGACGACGACGACGACCGACGACGACGACGCCGACGAGCGACCACGACGACGACGACCACGACGACGACGACGACGACGACGACGGCGGCGACGACGACGACGACGACGACGACCGACGACGACCGACGTTGACGACGACGCCGACGAGCGACGATGACGACGACGACGTCGATCGACCGACCGACTGACCGACCAACCGATCGACCACTACGACGACGACGACGAGCGACGACGACGACGACGGTGATGACGACGGTGACGACGACTACGCCGACGACGACGACGACGACGTCTACGACGACGACGCCGACGACGACGACGATGCCGACGAGCGACGACGACGACGACGACCGAAGACCGACGACGCCGACGACGACGACGACGCCGACGAGCGGCGACGACGACGACGACGACGTCGAACGACCGACCGACCCCGACCGACCGCCCGACCGACCGACCGACCACTACGACGACGACGACGAGCGATGACGACGAGCGATGACGACGAGCGATGACGACGACGACTACGACGGCGACGACCACGACAACGACGATGGACCCCAGGAGGGGTCCAGGAACCCGCTTCGATCGGAGTGGGGCCGGGCGGCGTCCGCCGCTGGGTGCGGCCGGCTCGCCGCCGCGCCGCCCAGAGGTGTCGCCGCTGGCGCTGGGGACCGAAGTTGGTAGGGCCTGTTCGGCTACACGTGCAGTGGAGACCCAGAACGAGAAGCACCCTGGGCCCCTGGGCTTTTTGGCTTTCGATGGTTTTGCGATGGGGAGCGTGACGCTCCCGCGCCAAAAAGCAATGGACGTCCTGGGGTCTCAGGGTTGGGTTTCTCGTGGCAGGTTTCCTGTGTCCGGGCCCGCGGGTGTTCCCCGACCGCTGGACGAGATGCGAGAGCTGCGGCTGGCGCGCCCGCTTTTGCCCCCCTCGCGCCCCCCCCTGAAGCTGCGCACCACAGGGTCACCTCCTCCTCCTCCTCCTCCTCCTCCTCCTCCTCCCCCTCCTCCTCCTCCTCCTCCTCCTCCTCCTCCTCCTCCTCCTCCTCCTCCTCACTCCTTCCACAGGTCACTTTCGCCCAGGGTCACTCCTGCGTGTGGCCGATCTGGGGGGGCCGGGGAAAGCCGCTGTTGTGACAATGGGCCCTCCTCCGAGCAACGGGCGTCGTTCGCGTCGTCGCCGCCGTCGCCCACTGGCGTTCCACCTCACCGCGAGCGCAGAAGCGAAGCGACCCCGCCCTCGCCACGACGATGGCGAGTGTTACCGAAACGCCGACGGCGCCGACGTCGACGGACGACGACGACGACGACGCTGCTGGCCGACAATGACGTAGTCGATGAGGGCGATGCCGACGACGACCACGAAGGCAACTGCGACAACGACGACGACGTCGACGACTGGCGACGCCGACGACACCAACGCTGACGCCGTCACCGTCGCCGTGCCCGTCGAGCGTCGAACGACGGACGTCGACGAATATACGGCTTCCTCGGCGACGACGACCACCGCCGACCGCCGACCGCTTGCGCCGACGTCGACGCCGACGGCGCCAACGACAACGTGACGCGACGGGCCGCAGGCGCCCGCGCGGCTGGCGCAGTACGATGTGCCGGCGCACCAGCCGCTGGCCCCGGAGGGCGCCGCCGAACCGCGGGACACAGCCGCGCAGGCCCTAACAGCCTGCGGCGGCGGGCGGCGGCAGCGGCTGCGAAGTCGGCAGCGATGGCGGGAGGCGGCGGCGGCGGGCGGGCGGCGGCTGCGGCGGCGGGCGGCGGCGGCGGCGGGCGGCGAATGCGGGGGCTCTGCGGCGCCAGCGGCGGCGATTGTGCAGCGGCGGCCGCCGACGCCTGCGAGGAGGCAGAAGCAGAGTTTGTGTCGGTGTTTTTAGGTGGTCGTTCCTGGGCGTTGGGGGCGTCCTGGGACCTTAGGCGACCCCGCGGGGCTCTGCGGCGGAGGGTGGCGGCGCTGCGGGGCGCGGCCGCGTAGTCCCTCGTCGCAGTCATCGGTCTTGCGGCTTCGGCGGGCGACGGCGACAGCGGCGGCGGCGGCGGCGAGCGACCGCAACGGCGGCGGGCGACGGCGGGCGTCCGCGGCGGCGACGGCAGTGGTGTCGACGGCGGCTGCGGATCCGCAAGGGCGTAAGTAACGGCGGCGGCGGCGACGACTGCGACGTCGTCGGCGACGGGTTGGAGTCCTCCAACTTGTCTGGTACCTCGTTAAAGCCCGACTGGAGGATCACGACCAGGAGCAGGATTAGGCAGAGAGGCAGCAGGCAGGAGGAGGGGAAGAGAGGAGGAGGGGGGAGGATCAGGAGGAGCAGGAGGAGCATGAGAAGCAGCAAGAGAGGGCCGAATTTATGGAGTGATGATGATCATGATGCTGATGCTGCTGCTGCTGCTGATGATGATGATGATGATGATGCTGATGATGATGATGATGATGATGATGATGATGATGATGATGATGATGATGATGAGAAGAAGAGGAGGAGGAGGGGGGCAGGTGAGGAGGAGCAGCATGATGAGATCGTGAGGAGAAGAGGGGAAGGTGGGTTAGGAATAATATGCGAAGTAGAAGGAAAGGAGTCGTAGGGTGTCGGGAGGAGGAGGAGGAGGCGGAGGAGGAGGAAAAGGAGGAGGAGGAAGAGGAAAAGGAGGAGGCGGAGGAGGAGGGGGAGAAGGAGGAGGAGGAGGATGAGGAGGAGGAGAAGGAGGAAGGAGAGGAGGGAGTACAGGAGGAGGATGAGGAAGAGGAGGAGGAGGATGAGGAGTAGGAGGAGGAAGAGTAGGAGGGGGAGGGTCAGAAAGGAGACGTATAATGCGGAGTGAGAAAGGGGAATGAGGTGGCGGAGGAGGCCAACCTGCCGCGTGCCAGCAGCCCGCGTCTGCGCGATGATGACGGCTTTCACGACCACGGCCACGACGGACGACATCGACGACTATGACAACGACGACGAGCACGACGACGACGCGCCGATACGACGACGACGATAAGTCGACGACGATGAGACGATGAAGACGACGACGAGGACGACGACGACATTGACGACAGCGGCGGCGGTGACGGCGACGACGACCACTGCGACGTTGATGACGTCGTCGACCTCGTCGACGTCGACGTCGACGGCGGCGACGTGGCGGCTTCGACGACCACGTCACGACGGACGATGACCGACCACGCCGGCCGCGAAAACGGCGAACACGAACACGACATCGACCGCGACCACGACCACGACGACTCCGGCATCGTCGACGCCACCCACGCCATCCACCATCGTCGGCGCTGGCGTCCTGTCGGGGTCGTGATCGACGTCGGCATCGTCGACGCTGGCGCCGTCGCTGTCGACGGCTGCGCCCGCCGTGGCCCCCCCCCAGCGGCCGCCAGGCGGGGGCAGAGAACGAGCCCCCACGACACGCCGGAGCCTGGGCCGCCCGGGCGCCTGCCGCGGCGGAGCACACCCCGTCGGCGGCGCGCAGCTCCCTGCAGCGGCCGCCGCCGCCGCCCAGACGTGACGGACGACGACCGCGACGGCTGCGACCCGTGCTTCTGCCTTCGCCGCCGCCGCTGGCCGCCGCCGCTGGCAGCCGCCGCTGGCCGCCGCCGCTGGCCGGTCGCGGCCGCCGCCGCTGGCCGGCGGCCGCCGTGGCCGTGGCCGCCGCTGGCCGCGGCCGCCGCCGTGGCCGCGGGCGCCGCTGTTGCGGCCGCGGCCGCCGCTGGCCGCCGCCGCCGCAGGTGGCGTCCATCGGCTCGCCGGTGGGCTCCGGGGCGTTCCGCCTGGCCTCCAGCGCCGGCACGCCCGTGCGCCTGGCCTCCGGCGCCGGCACGCCAGTGTCGCCGTCCTGCCGCGAGGACGGCGGCCGGGGCGGCCCACGAGGGAGCCGGCGGCGGCGGCGACGGCGACGGCGACGGCGACGGCGGCTGCGGCGATGAGCGGCGACGACAGTGAGCGGCGAGCTATGGTTGTCGAGTGCGACGACGAGAGGCACGGACCACGGCGACGATGACGACGAGGGGTGCGACGGCGGCGGTGGCGGCCTCGTCGTCGTCGTCGTCGTCGTCGTCGTCGTCGTCGTCGTCGTCGTCTTTGTCGTCGTCGTCGTCTTTGTCGTTGTCGTTGTCTTCGTCGTTGTCGTCGTCGCCTCTGTGACTACCCTCCCCGCTGCGACGTCGTCCTCTTCGGCCATCTTCAAGCTATCTCGGGCCCTCTGGGGCCTCGCTGAGGCTGTCTTGTTGGCCTCTTGGGCGTCCGGGGAGCCCAGAAGTCAAGTTCCCGGAGAGGCTTTCGGGAACATGATGTCGAGCGAGGCCCTCTTGGGCCTCCCTGAGGCCGTCTTGGGGGCCTCCTGGGCCGGCTTCGGTGCCTCTTGACTTTAAACGGAGAAGGTTAAAGGCGAGGTATAAATCGAGCATGTACCGCTGCCGTGCCTGGCTCAAGCCGGGCCCGGCCAAATATATGACTGTGCCTCACCGAGGCGCACGACTGGTATCTGAGATCGGAAAATACCTTTTCCATTGAAGATGCCTCTTCTATCCTTTACTCCAGATCCCATGCTTCGTCTTGCTCTCTTGCTCATGCGATATGAGCCAAAGCCTGGGATATGGCAACGCTTAAAGCGTAACACATACCTAAGCTTACCAGCTTGTTTTCGACTTGGTAGCGGAGCTGGCTACACTCTCGTGTGGCTGGCTCTCGCTCTGATTCCTGTAATCCACGGCACAACTTGGTGGACTACTACTACGGTGGAATACCATGTTGCGCCGGCTCTGCGAGGAGCGGAGCCAGTCCGCGATCGAGCTAGCGGGGCAACCCGCGAACTCGAGACGCTCTCTCCTACTTCACTGCGCCACTTCACTCCCGACTTCCACCAGATGCCAATCGGCAACTCGATCGAGAACGTGGTCACCCTGCGGGGCTACCCGCAGCGGGGCCACCTGCATCCCGTGCCAGTCAGGCGCCTCACGGCTACTACGCCAGAGCCTGACAAACCACAGCCTAAACCAATCACCGAAGCCGAAATGCACATGCACTGGATTAAGATAACTATCTTCGGCATTCTGTGGGTAATAATGGGATGTGCTGTGGGATACATGCGGCAGGGGATGGACGACACGCGTACTACTGGCCCTTCATGGGACCCTGCCGGTACTACGCCTTTTCGCGAATACGTTCGCGAAGTACATGCATGGATAAACGTAACGAGCGGCAATATGACGCCACCACAACAAGCTGCAGCACTACAACGAGGCCTTCAAGGTCTTGCTCGTCGTATCGCCATGCAGGTCCCCTCCCAGATCATCAACTATGGTGTAACTGTCAATGGACAGCCAACGGATGCAGTCACATATATACTGTACCTACTGAGCACCAAATTTGAAAATCTGGAAGATGAGCGCCAGCTCAACTCTGGCACTGCCCTTATCGACTTCCGCGTCGAAAGGGGCGAGCGAATCGACTCAGTATTAGCTCGATTCGAGATGGCCCGTGACGAGGCTAACTCTGTTGGCTTTGTCATCCCCAACTTTCAGATCCTAACGCTGATTCTTTTCAGAGCGTTAGGCGTTGGCGCGTCACGAGCCCAACACCTGCTGGAGCCTTTTAATCATCAGATGCCCAGAACACAAGCAGACTATGACAGACTGCTGACCAGGATGAGCGCTCTCCTGGCGACATTGCGGGTATCTTCGCAGGGCACCACTCACACGCAGGTGTCTACGCCACGACTGCGGGGTCACCCGCTGGTCCTGGCGAGCCAAGTCCCTGGGCTGACCCAGCCGATATGCCCGACGAGGCCACTGCCTTCTTAGGGCAGACCGGCCAGGCATCGGCAGAGGCAGCTGAGGCGAACGCCTGGTCGAACTACTCGCCAGGCGCCGCCTACACTGCAAGCCCGCCCTCGGGCACAACCCTCTGGGGCCAAGCGGAGTCATCCGCTCAAGGGTCTCAGCCACCCTCACCGTTTGAATCTGGCACTGACACAGACACCTCATCTGACGATGAGCACAATGGCATAGTCTCTGCTGGTAATGACTATCCAGCGGATGACACTCACCTTTCTGAACAACAAAGAGCGGAAGCCGCTTTTATGGCCTATCGCAAATCAAAACGCCGTTGGAGGCGCTTTATGAAGAAACCAGTCAGAAAAGTGAGACGTGCAGTACGCCGACATTTCAAACGATATGGAAAGGGTCGTGGCAAAGGGGGTCGCAGACGCCGTATGCATGGTAGGGGTATTACTGCTTTCCTCACGTCCTTAACTGATATAGTCTTTGAAGAAGTTCTTATCGGAGGCAAAGGTCGGGGTCACAGGCGGACCTCCGGTAAGGGAAAAGGGCGGAGGGGCAACCCTAGGGACGCTTCTGGTAATACTATGAAGTGTCATACATGCGGCAGCACAGAGCACTTGCGCGATCAATGCCCGAAAGGGAAAGGAAAGGGATCCGTACATTTGGCTCAAAATTCTTTTATGGATGACATAGACTACATTGACTACGAGTTTTACGTCAATCCAGAAGCGGCTCCCGCCGCGGGCTCCTCCACGTACTACGTGATGGCCCGCTACGCTGAAGTGACCGTAGCCCTGGAAGACTACGCAGTGACCCTCTTCGACGAGTTCCACGGCTGGGACGAAGTCGACGAGGTCGCGTTCAATGCTTGGTTCGGTCTTCCAGCGGGGCCACCCGCCGACGACGAGATCTCCGAAGCTGAGACCGTCCCGGCGACCGAGGAAGAGCTCACCGCCGCGCTGGCACCGCAGGTGATTGGCATGCCGTTGCTGCCAGATCCTCCGCGAGCTGGCTCGGAAGCGGGAGACGCTGATGACGAAATGCGGGGCCATCCCGCGTATTCTGACTCCGAAGAGGCCGAAGAGGACTATCAGGACATGCTCCAAGAGCAGGTCGCAGAAGCAATCCGACTCCTGAGTGCGCCAGCACATCAGCAGATAACCATGAACGACCTGCTGTCGCGCCCAGGGGCCGCACGGCTGCGTCCATACCTGGAACCAGACATGTCGGCACCTCAGATGCTGACAGCACTCCAGGCTCTAGCGGGGTCACCCGCCGAAGTGACGCCAGCCGCAGCAGCGGGGCCACCCGCTTGGTCTATGGATGTATTTATGCAGGGCTGCGACCAGATGGACCTCAACGACCTCGCGATGGAGCAGCTAAACGACATCGGGTACTTCAGGAGCCCGTATCAGCACGTATTCATGGTCCAGGACAGCTCAGAGGACTCGGAGGACATGCGCTATGCCAAGAGGGACAGACGACCATCGCCTCCCCGAGACTCAGAGCATGACGATCAAAGGCCCATGGAACGTGGTAGTGCGTCAGCGGGGCCAGCCCGCAGGAGGAGCCGTTCAGCTCCCCGACGCCCTACACATGATGCATCGGGCTACCCGTACAGTACGGAGCACTCCGTTGGTGTATCCGCTCAGTACGTGCCGGATTGGTACATCAATTGGTACCCCGGCTACTCGATGGACGTGATCCGCCACTGGTATTCTAAGGAATACTGCACCAAAAGGGACGAAACTGGCATGATAATACGTACCAAGGGTGGCAAGACCAAAACGCCAGAGGCTTGGGACAAAAGGGCTAAAAAACAGGAGATCATCAGAGATCGCAAGACATACAGAAAACAAGTATGTCAGTGCGAGCCCTTCAAAGGTCACATGCGCAGTTGTCCAATGGACCGCCCCTCCAGGAGTCCTCATCACGGTGAGACCCCGTGGAATTGGTCTCATGGAGATGACGCTGGCAACGTCCATGATCCTAACAAGGAGGTCCCTGGAGGAGGAAAGCGCATCACAGAAGCCGATCGCGTCCCTATGACCGAAGAGGTTGCCAACACTGTCAGGGAAAATTGGGTACAGCTTCCCAATGACCATCGCCTCAAGGAATGGAACCGCCGATTCCATAAAGAGGCGGGGTCACCCGCAGGATCCAGCAAAGAAGCGGGGTCACCCGCAGACGCGGCGCCAGCCGCTGGGTCCGCGGACGAAGATTGGATAGCTGTTGCATCTGTTGCCGGGTCCGCCGCAGGTACTGACCACACCGAACTGAATGAAGAATGGGCGGCGGAAGACGGCTCAGAGAACCCATTCCCTGATGGATGCGCCTGTTGGTACTGCAGCTCCTCGGCGCAGAAGTGGTTTTGCACGAGGGTAATTCACCGCCACGAGAATGGCAAGTGCAAGCTGGCCATAAAAGGTACTGCCGACATCGACCAGATGAGGCAGATCACCCATGATCATGGCCAGCCAGAAGGCCCTCCTAAAGACCCTCCTGGTCCACAACCAGGCATGGGCAGCAGACCACCTCCAAGACCTGAAGCCGACTCCTCATCTTCACCGACTCCTGCGAAGAGGCACCCGTCCAGGAGCCCCGAAGGCACACAGGGGCGGGCGAAGGCCAGAGGGATCGCCAAGACGGACGACCTTGAGCTGGAAGATCCTCCCGGTCTGTCCGTGACGGAGAGGAGGAAGGCTTTTGCTGGACCATCGACCCCGATGCCACCGGCGACCCAAGGCGATGTCAAGGACGAAGTTCGCGACAAGCCTAAGGCAGCTTTCCGAGGTGACTGGACTCCAACTCTGCATCAGCCGCGCCTTGCACCACGACCAGGTTCGGCACGAATGAAAGCACAGCCGAAGCCCGAAGCTGGGATGAGGTCGGTGCGGGCGGAAGCAGCCGCCAAGGCTAAGGAGGACAAGGGCTCCGCGGGGCCACCCGCCAAAGCGGCGCCAGCTGCGGCAGCGGGGACACCCGCAGACGGCACTCTCTCAAGAGAAGAACGCTTCAAAGTCCTCAAAGAATTTGGCGACCGACAGAAACTAGCCGATGATGAA